TGTTTATGAGTTTGTTGGGGGTGGGGATGAGGTAAATATACTTCTGATAATGTCTCTTTGACTTTTGATAAGTAAAGGATGTACGAATTAGAGAACTTTCCAGTGAGTGTTTGGAAATGATGTGAAATTTTGAGAATGAAGTTAATTCTAGTCGGTTGAAATAGTAATAAAACTTGAATAAAATCAGGAAAAAGGTTAAAAAAAGGTTTATGCTACAGTTTATTGGTAAATTTCCAAGAACGCTGTTTTGTGGGTTGGAAACATCACGGGTTTTATTGAAAACAAAGTGGTAAAATAATAATGACAATACATTCTTTGTAAAAGGGAGGACAACCAAAGTTTAAAATGTATGATGATTTTAGTTAGTGTAGTAATAAGGGAAATGTTTCTCCAATGAAGTTTTTCCTCGCCTAAGAAAAGTTTAGGTTGTACTGAACAGTTTTATGTTTTGTCTATCATCTGTTGCCCTTGATTATCATGTTTCTGACAGATTTATTCCTGTAGAGGCTGTGTTGAGCAACTTGTGCATTTCTTCTTGGAACCACTGCCTATGTTTTAGTTTATATCAGCTCTGACTAGTTTGATTTAAAAACAGGAAAATGCGGCAGGAGAATCTTGTTTAGTTTATTAGTCGTGAGAGCTGTGTATTCTTCATATTGATCACACAATTCATACTTTTTTTTGGTAGTATTCGATATATCGATGTTAATTAGATATGTTTCCCTTGTTTGTGCAGATGTGAGCTGTTTGACACAAATATTGATCAATATGTCAGAGGACTTGGTTGATGTGGAAGGGAATTGTCTCCACCATTGATACTTCTGTTTCGACCAGTAATGTAATAGAAAATGAACAATTTGCTGCTGCACAAGATATGTTGATCTGGTTCTCGGTTAGCAGGCCACAGTCTCTGCTTTAGTCATAGATTTGAGTCCTATGCATGTGTTTGGATTTCTTCGTTAATGCTGTCAAATTCTGAATTTAATATCGGTCTTTTAGTTTTTTAGTAAATATCGATGTCCATCTTTCTGGGCTTTACAGATACATCACTCTTTGTTGTTTGAAAGTTTAAGCGTGGGAAACAAAATTATTTTTGGTGATGTTTTCTTTGCATTTAATCATATAGTTGGCGCAGCCGAGGACCAAATTTTTGCTGTCAATTGTTTACTATTTATGATGCACTGACGTGCAAATACGTGAATTTTCAAAAAAGTAGTGTGGACCACACATCTTCAACACATTGATTAAATTCTTTAAAATTATCCATTTATATAATATAAAATTTTGTTTTTAATTTTTCTTATTGATATATTTTAAATATGAGTACCTATTTGTTATTTAATAATAACTTTAGGTAAAAATATATATATAATATTTTTGATGTACAAAGAAAAATGACTATGGTTAAATGTTCGAGGTTGTCGGTTTTCAACACGTGTCCTACAAGTGTCGGATACGGATATTGACACACTAGTCTAGTTGAAAGCAAAGACACGTTACCCTAGTTGAAGTGTAGTTTACGATAAAAGAAAATGTTATGAAATCCTTGTTATTGTTTATATACTCTCTTTTTCTACTAGGAATGAGTAATAATGGTAGATTTATCTTGAAAAACAACTGTTTGATTAACTGGGCACCCGGACCCTCTGTCCGGAATTGATAAGAGTGGGAACTTCATGTTTATCTTTTTGAAAATTAAAATCAACTCCATAACTTCCTTATTCTTTAACACATTAACTAAAGAACTCAGTAAGGACCGTTTGCCTAAACTTAGAAAAGCTTGTGTATAAGTAAATAGGTTCTAACAAAAATAAGTTTTTTATGTTCAAAATTGAAAATAAGTTACTTATTTTGATATCAAAGTACGAGTTTTTTTAAAAAACAAGCAACTTTTTCAAAACATGTTTGGAAATGAAAAGTTAATTAAAAGTAACTTTACTTATTTTTAAGTTCAGAAAGCATGCTTTAAGGTATTGGTCATTTATTGGGTTGAATTTATCCACGGTTGAAATGTTGTTGCGAGTAACATACCGCAATGGATGCAAGGATACTCGAGATGTGATGTGCCCATAGAACACAATTAGTTCAAGTATAATCCATAAATATATAAGGGGCCGAAAATATTTTAATTTGTGTTGAAAAATGAGTTTGGGATATAGCAAGATGTGATGATTCTCTAGTAGAGCTACTTTATATCCATAACATGTTTATAGTGTCGTGAGCTCTATTATGTATTCTTTAGTTGCACGATCTATTTGTCGTATGAAATCTTTGTGAGATAGATTTTGAGAATGATCTAACATGTGATATCAATTTTATATATGGTTTGAATCAAGTTCATCACGTGCGAGTAATAGATTTTAGAAAAAAATGGGCCGTGGGTAGTTCATGTGGGAGACCCAACCAGTAAGAATTTCAAGTGGATTGGAAGAAATGATTTGAAATTTGAAATTAAAACTACAACTTCTTTCAACATCCATGACTTCCCAAAAACGTCTTCAAATAATGAGAGAGAGAGATGGCTGAAAATTGGTATGAGATTCGAACTAAAAATACTCCAAAATTAGAAAGGCCTTGCAACCATAATTTTGGCATGAGAACTCACAAATCTTGACACTTAAATTGTGGAGAACAATTTCCTTCCATTGTGATCGAATTTGAGACCATAAGAGTACAACAAAATGCAGACTTTGTAACTGAAATAGCAAGGTGATTCAAGCATGAAGATTTTGATAGTTTTTCTTTCCAAGTAAGAATTCCTGGAACCAAAATTATATTCAAGCATGCCAAAAAAAATCTTCCAGTATATTTTTACTTGTTTGGATTTCTTTTGTAACTATTTCTATATAATGTCACAACTTGAATTTATATGTAATTCTTTCTATATGTCTATGAATTTAGTTTCAATATAATAGTAAAAAATTCTCACTACTAGAACTTCGTATTATCCTTTAAGTACAAGGTACTATTGGCATAAAAATTAATTGATAAAAATTTACTTATAAGTAAATTTTAGAAAAATGGTTATTGTACATCATCATTTACAAATTGATGAGATGACAAAAAGAAAGTGGGAGATTGATTTATTTTTTATTATTTTTATTTTTTTATGATTGGTTTGAGATGTTGACTAAATCAAATTTCGTCGCATCACCTGTTAATAACCAAATTTGTAAACTATGATTTATATATAGCACAACCAAACTTTTTGAACTTAGCCAACCATGTCTTTCAATGCAAATATCTTCTTGGTCTTGAGGCAAAGTCAAGAATCACGTTAAAGCAAAGGAATAATACGTAGGTCCCAAAATTCACCTCTTATTACTCAAAAATTATGTTCTACACTTCTTAATTGATTTCACACGTGTTTATTAAAATAATTTATTTTTGTGAAAGAGTTTAATGAAATGAATTATTAATCAAATTGCTTAGTAGTTGGCGTGTAAATCAAATCGAATAGAATCCAAATACTCGTACATCAATTCTTCTTGTTTGGAAAGAGTTTTATTCGCACAACTTGGCCGACTTGCATCTAATCCAACTAATTGAATTAAGTCCCGTTTGATTTTAATTTAAACAACATATTTAATGGGATTCATAACTTTTCAATAACATATTTCATCAATTTTTATCAAAATTTACTAAAAAACTAATTTTAATCCCAACCAAATAAGGGCTAAATTCATTATTTCGATAATTTTAAATAAAAGCGACAAGCAATAAGGGCATACAAAAGCAAACTTTACGATGCATCTCCCTCACAAAAGGAAATCACTCTGGCATAAAAGAAGAGCTTCATGATAAAACTACATCATTTATATCACTTGAGTATTAGATTTTTTAAAGATCGAATCAACAACATTCATAGTTTCTCCCGTTTTTTTTTTTTTTTTTTTTTTTAATGAGATTCGTTACTTAGATCAAGGACGTAATATGATCCCTAAAGCAAAACGCACGCATATTCAAAGAAATATTTGGTTGATTTGAAAACTTTTTAATAACATATAAGTAAAATGAATTGAATGAAATTAATGTGAAACTCGACTCATTTTTCATAAACAATATGTATTAATAATATAACTATCAATTAATATTGACCAAACATCTAAATAACTCTCGGAATGCATGTTGACAAGCAACTAGTGTAAACTAATATATGGACATTGCTAAAATAATTAATTTCGTATCTCCAATAGTTTGTGAGAATAGATATATAATTTTATCGACTCTAACAATATGTTTAACGACTTCACTTTAATTTGAACAATTTCTCTTGCCTCCAAAGTCCATTTCAGAAAAAACATTATAATGCTTGTGAGAGAGAGAGTATGAACTTAAACACGATAATTGAAACATCAAATTCTTCGTTGAAAATAAAGCATACATTTTACATCACACAAAATTTCGTCATCTATCTAGATTCTAGAAGAACAAATGTGACAACATTTAACACCCTCCACGTGGCAAGTCACAATTGGGCTGTCTCATTTTTATAATAACCACCTAATCACCTTATATTTTCCTGGTAGAACCTTCTCTCAGGAATCACATTCACTTGATGCAAAAAGGTCAACTTGTGTAGAGTAAGTCAAGAGTCAAAATAAGCAGCCTGACGCGTTAATTTTAACTTTCAGGTCAAAACAAATAAGAAAAACAAAAATGAAAAAATCGATTATATATAAGTTGCTAATCCCTACCATCTTTTCATTCATGGGCAAAATTTCTTACCATCTTTCCAACTGAAAAGAAAATATCAAAAAGCCAAGAAGGGAGAGAAAAAAGTACTTTTTTTCCTCATAAAATCTGATCTTCTCTCTCTAAAAGTGAAGATTGGATGGCAGAAAATAAGCAGCAGCAATCACCAATCCCTTTGGCCCCTACAGTCATTGGCTATCCACGAAGTGACACAGAATTAGCATCCAATGATGCAAGAGAATTACGCAAAAAGAAACGCATGAAATGTTTACTTTATATTGTTCTCTTCGCCGTTTTTCAAACTGGGATTATACTACTTTTTGCCCTAACCGTAATGAAAATCAGAACTCCAAAGTTTCGATTGCATTCCGCAACGTTGGACAACTTTACAACAACCCCTTCGTTGCGTTTTACGATGAACGCAGAGTTTGGAGTAAGGAACACGAATTTCGGGCACTTTAAGTACCAGAACAGCACTGTTTATTTCTTCTACGGCAGCGATCAGGTTGGCGAGGTGGTGGTGCAGAGAGCTCGAGCCAGGGCACGGAAGACGAGGAGGTTTAATGAAGTGGTGGAATTGAGTTTTCCGGCGAACTCTCAGCTGGGAAATGGTTTGAGCTCTGGTTTTGTGAGAATTACTAGCCAATCAAAACTCAGTGGGAAGGTGGAGCTGATGAAGGTGATTAAGAAAAATAAGGCTACTGACATGAACTGTTCCATGGATATTGTTATTGCTACCCGACAACTTCAGAATATTGTGTGCAAATGATGAAGTTACTATGTTTTGTATATTATTTTTGGCATCCATTGATGGGTGTTTTATGCACTTCGTGTTTGCCACCCCCTGCGGCTGCGGCGGCGGGTGGAGGGAGTGGAGGTGTGCTTTGATACTCTTAGCCACCTATTTGGCTCTCTTTTTGGTCATATATATTTCTTGATTTCTATTGTGTGTATTGTAGGATTATAGACTTATAGTTACTACTTGGTACTTCGTTATAAAATTTAAAAAAATAAAAATAAAAATAAAATTACAATTATTCTTGAAAGGTATTATTTACCTACACTTCTTTTATGGCTTAATTTCTTAGCCTCCGTTTGATAGAAATTTATAAATGGTTTATAAATTTAAATTCGAAGTCATATGTATATTTAAACAACACAATAATATCTACTAATCTTTATTAAACATACATTTTATGAGATCAATTACCATTCCTCTTTATAGATTTGCTAAACGAAGTTTTAGTTGTAAGTTAAAGTTTAAAAAATTATGCCTAACCAAATATGCTTGAAATAGAAGAAGTGATAATGTATTAAGGTGCTCTCGCTTGCCATTTGTTGGAACAATGTTAGCCGACTATAAGTATGTTCTGAAAGTATTTATGAATAGTTCTGATCATAAATAAAGAGAAATGAGTTATGAATAAATAGATAACACTTATGGATTCGATAAAATATGTTATTAAAAAAAATTATTTGAATGTTTATAAACACAATCCAAATATAGGCTAAGAATGCTTCCCTTTTTAAAAATTTCTCTAGGTTTCTTAAATTATGAGTAAATTTAATAGAAGAGAGATACACTTTAAGAGTCAAAAGAAGGGTAAGCAAATGAAATGATAAACCTAGAAAATTGTTATTAGTGAAAGAAGAAAAAATGAACCACTATCCTATGATAAAGAAAGGCATATGTGAAAGTGGCCAAGAAGTCTCTCCTCTCTCTCAGGGCATTTCACTTAGATTAATATCATTCAAATCATTAATTATAACTGAAAAAAAGTGCTTAAGAGGTTATTTCTATGTATATACACTAAGTCAACAAGGTTGACTTATAGCTCGAAAGACTGCAACGATACTGGAGATATTTTTTGTGTTCATATAGAATGCTTCAACTGTGCTAAAAGTCAAATATTTAATCCCATAAAGTAGCATTTCCATTTTTTTACAAGACCTCTTGATTATTCTATGAAAATGTTATGCATGCAAAATAAATATTTTTATTTTCACACGAATTAAAGTAATGCAATTAATATAATAAAAATATAATTTTTAAATCTTTTTTCTTAATATATCTTTATATTAAATAATTGACTAAATAAGAGTAGTCCATATTTATTAATAACAAAACAGATTAAATAGAGGTGCTTTATAAAATTAAGAAATTAATTATACTAAAAATAAGAAAAGTGACTTATAATTTAGGACAGACTTAAAAGGAAAGAAAGCCGATCTTTATAGAATGGATGGAGTAATAGACATTTATAATCATATATCTTAAGGGCTCGTTTGGAAGAATTCTTTCTTGTTTATTTATTTATTTTTTTTAGGAGAAAAGCTTTCCGAACAAGTTAAATTAGACCAACTTTTTCCAAAATTTCTTTTAATCAGATAAAATAATTCCAAAAAGCTATTCAAATATATTAAAAAGTTACTTCTTTTAATACCAAAATTAACTTTTAATTTTTTAAAAACTATGCCAAAAGGACCCTAAATAAACCTATATAATTCTAGTGCTTATAGACATAAATCAAATGATTTTCCTTTTCTCTAAACTTATGTGGACAACTATTTCAATGAATAAAAAAATAACCAAATTATTACATCAGCAAAGTCATATAGACTGTAAAATCTTTGAAGCGGTGTATACACGTTATCGAATAGAACTGAGTGATATTAAGTTGGAGGAATTTTAATGTTCACACATCATTTTCCCTATCTCAAGTTGTAGGGTCAAAATCAATATGTCAACAAACAATGATTCTTTAAACATAAATATAAATCAAATCTTTCATACGAAGTTTAAAAAATTAGATAAAGGTATAGTTCAATACTATATTTTAACATGTGAAATTTCAAGTTTGAGTTTGTCATTGATTCAATTATTAAATTTTTCTAAGTTTTGTTTTTGTTTTTGTTTTTTTTTATGTGCATTACCGAAGTATTCTTCAAAAAATAAAATAGAATAAAATAAAATAAAATATATAATGTTGACGTCAAAATTAGTAAGACTAATCTTAAGCCAACTTTTAAAAAAAAGGGTGATTTATTGTTGAAAAAAACCACAAAATATGTTTAGAGAGCGTAATTATGCCTTGAGTTGTTATATGAAATCACTTTTCCTTTACAAGAGTCCGATTCAACTATTTATACATAGTTTCAGCAGACATTACATCAAATTAGTCAAATCAGCAATAGTACCGAGCTCGAAACTCGGGTCGTCGAATTCTCTTGTGATTGGTTGATAAGGCCGGTGGCCATGTGTCAATGTTTTTCCCAGGTAATGATAACCTGCAAGGGGTTGGAGGTTGAGGACTTAGGATTGGTTATTCCGGACGGTGATAATGTCACCTGTGGCAAGTGTATTTGATTGATTGGGTGATGTGACAGGGGGTAATCATGATTTTTTTGAGATAACGGTGAGATTGTCTGACCTGGGAGTAAGAACTGAACTCACATTTAACTGAGGTGGGGTTAACGAACTGTTTTTATTAGATCAGAGTTTGAATGTCGACAATTACCCCCCAGGTCAGTTCTTTCGTAAGGGGGCTGACCTTCTAACTTCACGGGTTCTTTTTCCAATAAAAGTAATTATTATTATGCCAAGTGTCATGCCTGGGTAGGGATGAGCTGTACGGCATTTTTAGATAGCTTCTTTGATAAGTTTCCTGATGCTGTGTCGTTTTGCCCAGGAGACATTTCATCTGTAGATCTTCCCTCCTTTATTTTGAACTAATATCCCAAATTAAAACCCTGTATCTTCCTTCTTTTTAAATATTCAATGGCTTTTCATTTTGTCTTTTTTACTTTACACTGTTTTCTCTCAAAGCACCAACGAATTTCGAGCACGCCCTGTCCGTCGTTTGAGTAAGGTCGTCCTTCGAGTTTCCAGGTATTCCTTCGCTTCTTCACTTAGTCCATTTGTTTTGTTCTTTTCCATGAGTTTGGACAAGTCGAGGGTTCAATCCCGGGGAAATCAACAGGAAGAATCTATCCCTTCTACTTTTAGTTCATCCTCGGGGTGTAGAGAGATTTTTACTCCTGTTCCTATTTCTATTGCTAACCCATTACTTTGGCCCGTCCTGGGAAGATGGGGCGAGATAGGGTAGACGATGAGGTGGGTTCCTCTATGGGTAGTGAAGGGAACGATCAGTTGGAGTAGGGTACTCCTGTTCCTATTTCTATTGCTAACCCGTTACTTTGGCCCGTCCTGGGAAGATGGGGCGAGATAGAGTAGACGATGAGGTGGGTTCCCCTATGGGTAGTGAAGGGAACGATCAATTGGAGTAGGGGGCTGATTCTTACAGGTCGGTAGTTACAGGTGATATGTTAGCTAGTTGTAGGGCAAAATATGATATTCCGAGTTCGGTAATTATAATAATCCCCGAACCATTTGACCGTGTTGACACTCCCCCTTTGGGATGTGTCGCATTGAATTCTGCCATCCTTCAAGCCGGGCTGAGATTACCTATTCCTAGGGTTATCCGTAAGTTTTTGTCTTCTTAGGGCATAGCTCCGATCCAGTTATGCCCAAATGGGTGGTGGACTTTGATCGCCACGCTTATTCTGTGAGATAGATTAGGTAACCCTGAGCTTATGGTTGAGTAGTTCAACTCTTTATTTACTTTTAAGGAGGATGGGAAGATCTTGGGTTGGTGGTACACAAGTGTTAGGTCAAGGATGGGAGGTTATTTGGTTTTAAACACCCCCTTCTCGATTAAGAAATGGAATGAAGAGTGGTTCTATGTGTCGAGGGAGTGGCAGTTTCATTTTGTCGAGGTGAATAGGGGACGACGTGATCCTAGCGCTTTATCACTCGTTATGTAAGTAACTGCCTCTTGGTGTTTTGACCTAGATTGTATTCCGAGCGGCTCTAATTGATATCATGTTACTGTACAGATTACAATAGGCCTACACTGAAGAAAGACACTCAGAGGCGAGCGGAAGCAATTCATGCATTGCAGAAGAAATAGAGATCTTGTAAATTTTTGCTCTCAAATTCCAACCTTTTCCAGGCTGACTTGATTAAAACCATGGTGTCGGGGCCTTCCACCGTCGCTGTGTCTACATCGGTTCCGACCAGTTCAGGTCAGTTTTGATTGGTTTATTGAGGTGATATTTGTTAGAGTTGAGTATTGACATACTTTTTTGTCTACAGCTCACAATTCAGAAATGTTAGCATACAAGGCGACGAAAGTTGCGGCCGCAGTAAAGGCCAAGAATTGGGACGTCCTAGAATGGGATGAAAGCCATTTTGAGGAAGTGGAGGATGAGGTCCCCTTCAAGAAGAACCATACTGGTATGTCGTCGCACCAAGGGTCCCTGAAGCTGATCCTGTGTTGAGCTCTTCTCCTTTGGTGGCCATCACTTTGCCATCTCCAGCTCATACCTTGCCACCTCATGCGGCACCTGCTTCCGTTTCGATTAGCTCGGCAAGGGTGCAGGAGAGGTGCCTTGACTTACAGAGACCATCACTGGACAGTCTACTAGGCCACCGTCCAGAGATCTTCCTGGATTACTTGCGAGCTTCATCTCCATCGAGGGAGGTTACTGCTGCACTTCCCCCACTTCTGCATGATTCTGCAAACCTGCTTACCAGGAGTTGGGGTAAAAGGGAGCAGGGCTTCCCTAATGAGATGTCCATAGGTGAGGCCCTAGTGACTGCTCAACTCCACGACCATCCCTTTATCATGTACATGACGGCCGTAGCTAATAAGGTATTTTCCATATTTGATGATTTATATATTTGCGAGGTGCTTAACTTATGAATTTTAATGTAGGTGAAATCTGAACTCGACAAATTGATAGAGGCCAAGGATCAAGCCTTGAATTTGTATAACAACATGGAGGTTGAGAGAGCTCAGTTTGCAATAAAAGAAAAAGAATACGAGGAGAAGCTTAACACGATGGGGTTTGAGCTGAACTCAAGGCTGGAGATGGAGAAGAAGTGGATGGGGGAGATTACAGCTTTGAGGGGAGAGGCCGATCGTAAGGCTGAGACTGAGAAGAAGAGGATTGAGGAAGAGAATGTTCGGATTGAGGAGGTTGTGGAGAAGGTACGGGAGGCAAATGAGAGAGCAAGAGAGGCGATGCGTAGAGCTGAGAAGGCTGAATCTAGGACTGCGAGGACAGTGGAGACTTGGTGGTCGTCCTCTGAGTTTGACGCTCTTGCTCAGGATGCTTATGTCGTGGCTCTGGAAGAAGTAGTAAAACACATTCGCAGAGAGAGGCTAGGGTTCGACGTGGGTTTCCTTGAGGAGGTTGTGGAAGAGCAGAAGGAAGAGTTTCAGCATTTGTCGGAAGTGGCAGGGATTTGGATTTCTCCTGCTGATGAAGATGATGCCGCTCCTCACGAAGACCTCCCTCCCCCTAGCTCTTCTTAGGACATTTTTTGGATTTGTGATGAATTTGTTAAACTTTATGGATACCTTGTTTGTGCTTGAAAATGAGCTGTACTCTATTTTGAATGCTTATGAAAATGCATGTTTTTTTGTGGGGCCTAAATTTTATTGCTTATTTCATCATTTCGTAAAGTTTTAATGATGGAATGTCTTCTAGGCAGCGTATGTGACAGAACTCGTAAGTCATGTGAACCTAGATCAACTTGCACATGCTGCTAGGCTTCGTAGAATTTCCAAAAAGGAATTTCCGCTAGGGGTCGTAGCATTTACGACCTTAGATTGGCCTATGTAAGTAGTAGGGCTTTGTAAGATTCCTTAAGAGGAATGTTCACTAAGGGTAACGCGTACAGCCTCAGATCGACCTGCGTAAGTAGTGGGGCTTTGTAAGATTCCTTAGGAGGAATGTTCACTAAGGGTTGCAGCATTTATGACCTTAGATCGACCTGCGTATGGAGCAGGATTTTGTAAGATTCCTTAGGAGGAATGTCCACTAAGGTTAATACGTACAACCTTAAATCGGCCTACGTAAGTAGCAGGGTTTTGTAAGATTCCTTAGGAGGAATGTTCACTAGGGGTCGCAGCACTTCCGACCTTAGATCGGCCTGCGTATGGAGCAGGACTTTGTAAGATTTCTTAGGAGAAATGTCCACTAAGGGTAACACGTTCAGCCTTAGATCGGCCTGCGTATGTAGCAGGGCTTTGTAAGATTCTTTAGGAGGAATGTTCACTAAGGGTCGCAGCACTTATGACCTTAGATCGACCTGCGTATGGAGCATGGCTTTGTAAGATTCCTTAGGAGGAATGTCCACTAAGGATAACACGTACAGCCTTAGATCGGCCTACGTAAGTAGCAAGGCTTTGTAAGATTCCTTAGGATGAATGTTCACTAAGGGTTGCAACACTTACGACCTTAGATCAGCCTACGTATGGAGCAGAGCTTTGTTAGATTTCTTAGGAGGAATGTCCACTAAGGGTAACACATACAGCCTTAGATCGGCCTACATATGTAGCAGGACTTTGTAAGATTCTTCAGGAGGAATGTCCACTAAGGGTCGCAGAACTTACGCCCTTAGATTGACCTGCGTATGGAGCAGGGCTTTGTAAGATTCTTTAGAAGGAATGTCCACTAAGGGTAACACGTACATCCTTAGATCGGCCTGCGTAGGGAGCATGGCCTTGTAAGATTCCTTAGGAGGAATTTTCACTAAGGGTAACACGTACAACCTTAGATCGGCCTGTATGTAGCAGGGCTTTGTAAGATTTCTTAGGAGGAATGTCCACTCAGGGTCGTAGCACTTATGCCCTTAGATCGGCCTACGTATGGAGCAGGGCTTTGTAAGATTCATTTTCTCCTCGGTTAGGTCGAGTTCCGTACGAAGAGCCATGTGGTTCCTTTCGCAGCGAGGGAATGCTGACTCTAGTGGGATCACAGCCTCTACACCGAAAGCTAATGAGAATGATATTTCTCCCGTACTAGTCCTTGTAGTGGTGCGATAAGACCCTAGCACACTGGGGAGTTCTTTGGCGCATCCTCCTTTAAACAAGTCGAGTTTTGCTTTCAATATGTGCTTAGTAATTTTGTTAATGGCTTCGACTTGGCCGATTTCCTGCGGATGTTTCGACGTTGAGAAATATTTCTTGATGCTGAACTCTTCACAGAAATTTGAAAGTCATGCGTTGTCGAACTATTTTCCATTGTCCGTAACAATAAAGTGAGGTATGCTGAACCTGCAGATGATTGATTTTCACAAAAAGTCGATTGTTTTCTGTTCGGTGATCTTGGCAAGTGGCTCTGCCTCGGCCCATTTGGTGAAGTAATCAACTGCGATGATGGTAAATTTTACACCCTCTTTTCCAATGGGCATAGGTCCAATTAGGTCGACCTCTCATTTCGCAAAGGGCCAAGGTGTTGTTACTGGGTTCAACTCGTGCGGTAGAGCATTTATGATTGGGGCGAGGCGCTAGCATTTGTCGCATCTTTTTGACAAATTCAAGGAAATCACGTCTTATTGCAGGCCAGAAGTATCCTTGTCATATGATCTTGTGGGCTAGTGAGAGCCCACCTGAATGGTTTCCACATATTCCTTCGTGAACGTCTTTCAGGGTATGCTGAGCTTCTTCTTCATTTAAACACCTTAACAAAGGAGTAGAATATCCCCGTTTGTATAGTACATCGTCAATGAGTGTATACCTGGCCGACCTGATTCAAAGCTTTCTAGCCTCCGCAAAATTTTCGGGACATTTCCCAATTTTTATGTAGATGACGATCTCATCCCGCCAGGTTGGTTTGGGGTCGATCATCATATGGACCACTTCGTCCAGCTCGGTTGATGGTAGGGATATTCTTCCTATGGGGATGCTATCGAATTCTTCAATTTCCTCACTGGTGGCTAGCCGGCCAGTGCGTCGGCGTGATCGTTCTACGATCCGGAAATTTGCTTGATTTCGGTGGTGTTGAACCTTTCAAGTTCTTTTCTTACAACTTGTAGATAGTTGTCCATTCTTTCTTCTTTCGCCATATATACACCGTTGACCTGATTTACGACTAGTTGAGAGTCGCTGTGTATGATCAGGTCGGAGATCCCCAACCCTGAGGCCATCCTTGTGCCGGCAATGAGAGCTTCGTACTCTGCCTCATTGTTTGAGGCTTTAAAGTCAAATGGCAAGGTTTCGTAAAATATGCGATGTATAGGGCTGATTAATACGACGCTTGCCCCAGATCGTTCTCCAGTGGATGAACCGTCAACATAAAATCTCCATGGGGTTTCTTCTTGTAGTTCCTTGATTGGGACGTTGCAAAACTCAGAGACAAAGTCGGTGAGTGCTTGGCCCTTGATGGAGGAACGTGGCGTGTATTTGATGTCGAATTGTCCAAGCTCGACTGCCCATTTTACCATCCAACCTGAAGTGTCGGGTCTTTGTAGTGTTTGTCTTAATGAAGAGTTGGTGAGAACCTCAATGGGGAGTTCCAAGAAATATGGCCTTAGTTTTCGCATGGTTATCAGCAGGGTGAATGCCAATTTCTCTACAGATGAATATCTGAGCTCGGCTTCGTGAAGTGCCTTGCTTACGTAATAGACTGTGTGTTGAACACCGTTCTCTTCTCGGGTTAGAATCGCACTAATGGCGTGTTCTGAAACAGATAAATAAAGTTTCAGGACCTCATCAGCCTTAGGTTTTGAAAGCAACGGAGGCTGAGCTAGTTGTCTCTTTAGCTCGTTAAAGGCGTCCTGGCATTCTTTGGTCCATTCGAACTTTTTCCCCCATGTAATGTGTCAAAGAAGGGTTTGCAGCAGTCCGTAGACTTGGAGACGAACCGGCTGAGGGTGGCAATCCTTCCAGTTAAACTTTGTGCCTCTCTAGGTTTAGTTGGAGGCCTCATTTGGATGACATCTTGTATTTTTTTCAGGATTTGCCTTGATTCCTCGGTTGTTCACAATGTAACCTAGGAATCTTCTAGAGCTGACCCCGAAAGCACATTTCCTTTGGTTCAACTTCATTCCATACTTCCTCAGTATATCAAACATCTCGGTCAGGTGCTGACGGTGATCCTTGGCCTTGATGCTTTTGACCAGCATATCGTCAACATACACTTCCATTGTTTTTTCGATCTGTTGGGAAAACATAGAATTCACCAGTCGTTGGTAGGTCACACCAGTGTTTTTGAGACCAAATGGCATTACTCTGTAACAGTAAAGACCTCGGTCAGTTACAAACGAGGTATGTTCTTGATCTAGGCCGTACATCGGTATCTGGTTATATCTGGAATACGCATCCATGAAGCTGAGTAGTTCGTGTCTGACAGTGGCGTCCACCATTTGATCTATTCTTGGCAAAGGAAAACTGTCTTTTGGACATGCTTTGTTGAGGTCGATGAAGTCTATGCATACCCTCCAATCTCCATTGTGTTTTTTCACAAGGACCGAATTTGCGACCCACTTCGGGTATTTGGCCTCACGGAGGAAACCGTTATGCAACAGTTTTTGCTCCTCCTTGTTGAGTGCTTCATATCTTTCAGGGTTCAGAGGTCGTCGTTTTTGCTGCTTTGGCCGAACTGAAGGATCCACTTGTAATTTGTGGCATGCGATGTTGGGGTCTATTCCTCTCATGTCCCCGTGATTCCAAGCGAAGACATCAAGGTTTTGTCTAAGGAAGGCCACAATTTCGTTTCGGGTGGATGGCTGCAGCTTGTGCTCAACTTTGAGCTCTTTTGTAGGGTCCTTGGCACAGACTTGAACTCCTTCTAATTCTTCGACAGGTTCTCCGCCTTCGATCCTGGTCCACAGGTCTAGTGGAATGAGCTCGGATTCCCATATGTTTGCCTTATACACTCCCGGGGAGTTGCGTTGATTTCTGGCACAGGTCTTCCTCATGGCGGTCGTTTGAGGGTCCTGCCATCGTGGAGAGCTTGGTGGTGTATTCGTTTCATGAGGGTGGGTATGAAATGGGTTTTTGGAACTTAAGCTACGACTCATGGCTCTCGAATTTTGTGGAAAGAATGAGACTATTTTTCACAATTAGGGCCCTCCTTCTAGGCCCAAACTGTTGACGTCAAAATTAGTAAGACTAATCTAAAGCCAACTTTAAGAAAAAAGGGCAATTTATTGTTGAAAAAAACCACAAAATATGTTTAGAGAGCGTAATTATTCCTTGAGTTGTTGTATAAAATCACTTTTCCTTTACAAGAGTCCTATTCAACTATTTATACATAGTTTCAGCCGACATTACATCAAATCAATTAAATCAGCAACAGTACCGAGCTCGAAACTCGGGTCGTCGGATTCTCTTGTGATTGGTCGATGAGACGTGACCATGTGTCAATATTTTCCCCAGGTAATGATGACCTGCAAGGGGCTGGAGGTTGAAGACTTAGGATTGGTTGTTCCGGGCGGTGATGATGTTGCCTGTGGCAAGTGTATTTGATTGATAGGGTGATGTAACATGGGGTAATCATTGTGTTTTTCTGAGATAACGGCGGGATTGTCCGACCTGGGAGTAATGACCGAACTCACATTTAATTGAGGTGGGGTTAGCGAACTGTTTTTATTAGAGCGGAGTTCGGATGTCAACATATAAAAATATTAAAACCCCCACTAGGCCACTCTCATTCGCCATATAAAAAATAAAATAAAAAAATAAAAACAAAGAAAAAATGAAACTTTTTTTTTTATGATCATGGGTGTCCGAGCTAACTTACGCACACCTCGACTAATCCCACGAGATCCTGAAGTTTACAGCAAGAGACTCACTTCTGTGGTCTTGAGGAGACTCAAATTGGTGACCATTGTGGGGCAAACTGAAAACCTGATCACTGAGTTACTCCTCAGGGTTAGAAAAGGATGAAACTGAAAATAGAGCTAGATTTTACCATGTTCGACACCATTATTTGAAGTAATTTCCACTAATTAAGGCAAGAAAAGAGGAAAAGTAATTTTTTTTCTTCCCATATTCTAATCTTCTCTTTCTAAAAGTTAAAAGAATCTGAAAATTTGGTGATAGAAACTAGGTATGGAGATGTCTAGTTTTGTCCGATTTCAAAGAGAATCGAAATGAGTCAAAACAAAAATTATTGGGCATTTTTTGAATGGAAACTTATGGTCCAAATTTACTTATGGAATAGTTCGATTGATTCTATCTTGTATCATAATTACATTTTTAATGTTAAAACAACACAACATCAAAATAAAATAGAAATTAAAATGAATAGAAATAAAATATATTTATGATATTACTTGTACTTACCAACCATTTAATCATCCATTATTTGGCTTATGGCTAGGGATGGCAACGGAGTTGTTATGGGACGGGTCATCAATTCTCACACTCGTCTCGTCGGATATTTTTATTATCTTACCCTATACCCATACCCGATTAAAGCGGAACGGGGCGGGGCAAATCTCATGTCCCATTTATCGCCTCATTTATTTTTTCATTTTATTTTTTGCTTTTATTTTTTATGTCATTAGTTAGTAAATAGTATTATTTTTTTACCAATTTGTTAAAAACAACTTATATTCTCTTTAAAAAGGATGATAAATATATTATTTTTGTTTGATAAAAACTTAAATTTGAAATTAATATTAATCGGGGCGAGAACTATGTTTTCTGTACCTGTCCTATACCCGTTTTGGGGCAATGACCCTCCTCCCATACCCATCCCATATACCCGGTTAGACGGATACTATCCACCCTAGGCAAGCTCCATGGGTATAGTGTTAAACGGGTTTTTTTGCCATCCCTACTCATGGCACTAAAAAACTCTACATGAATAATTTGAAAAGGCACAAAAAATAAACAAACATAAAAAACCTAAAATATGTCCAACTATTAAGATTTATCTGAAAAAAATATTATTTATCTTTATTACCTATCTCAATGCCATCACAAAATTTGACCCCTTCGATGTGAACTTTATTTTGAAAAACACTCTTCTCGTAAACTGTTTTGTGGACAAACTATAAGACCACAACCTTTCATAGAGTTAAAGAACACGTGAATCAAGCATGCACCCTCCAATACTAATTAATCACTCGAAAGCAACTCTAGATACAAGAATGGAGTGTACATCCCCCATAAATGGAGATAGAAATTTAAATATAAACTATTGATATTCCGCCAATTCAAAACATCAAATTTTCCGTGTGTAACATCTTTTGTGGGTTTCGTTAGATATCTCGGTACTCATCTTTTCCATAGAAATCCTCTTTGCTAGTTTCCATTTTCTTGTAACCAAATTAAAAATTATAATAATCCCAATCTTCATCATGAGAACTTCCAACAAAGTGACGCCATCATTTGAATCACCATTACCTCTATCACTACCACTGTGTGCAATGCTATCCCTTTGTATTGGTTATATTTGATCTTGTTTGTTAAAACTTGTTTTAAATTAGAGTTTCACATTTCTTGGGGGTTCGACTTTGATAGAGTCTTACAAGACACCAACATAATGGACAACAATCTCCAATTTAAACTAGGATCAAGTCAACTATACGATCAATATCATCTTCATTTTTTCAACATACTTGTCAAAGTTAACATTCATGCTATTTGTTGTACTACTTAGCAATGAAGTAAATATTGGAGGAAACAATAAAGCACTAAACTTGAAGGTGACTTCACAAAATAGTTCTTAATGACTTGGCAAATTTCTAACTTTTTCCCCGTCACAACTCATAGTTGGCCCTTCTATTTATTGTCCACCTTCATTTGCATCAAAATAATTACAATAAGATCCATCATTCCTTTCTCCATCCAAATATTTTTAAAATCCGACGCACTATCGAACATTAAGAATGTTGAATTTCATCTAGTAGAAACATCTAAAACATCAAGTTTTTTGCATACAATCATTTCTGTTTCGATACAACATTTAAATCTCATTAAGTGAGCAGGAGAGGATAAAAAAAAATTGACCTTATTGTGACTACTTGCAATGGATGTATTAAATTCTTTCAACCATTTTTTATCAATCAAATTGACTATGCGTGCAAAAGAAAATACATGTAAATAATTAGCACTTAAATCATATTATAAGTAATTAGCTTTTCAATTCTTCAGCTTGTTTTTCAAATTAATGATTGTTGTATCATTTGTGTTTGCATTTTGAAAAGGGGTGATACCCATATACTCTATTCCCAATCTAGCAAACATTTCAATAAGTTCCCCAAGTATTTTCCCTTTATGATTTGGAACAACAGAAAAATCCAAAATCGTACTGTGCAATTTTCAACTTTTATCAATGAAGTTTGTTGTGATTACCATATTGTTTTGAATTGAGGTCCAATAATTAGTGGTTAAAAAAAACCCTTAGTCTATCATTGATATATTCAATCCTTGACGATTCAATTATTTCTTGGTAGAGATGAAGCATATTTCTTGTAAGCATTCTTCAGTAAGGAACCTCAAATCTAGGACATATGTTGTCTCACAAAATCTAGGTCATATATATTTCTTGATTTTCGTTGTGTGTGTTGTAGGATTATAGTTATTACTTGGTACTTCGTTGTAAGGGAAAAAAAATACAATTAATCTTGAAAGGTATTATTTACTTCCACTTATGTTAGCCGACTACAAGTATGTTCTAAAAGTATTTATAGATAGCTCTCATCATAAATAAAGAGAAATGAGTTATGAATAAGTAGATAACACTTATGAATACGTTAAAATATGCGAATAATTTTTTTTTTAAATTTAAATGTTTATAAACACAAACCAAATATTGGCTAAGTCTAAGCTATACTATTTCAAGGTGTTAAGAATGCTTCCCTTTTTAAAAATTTCTCTAGGTTTCTTAAATTATGAGTAAATTTAATCGAAGAGAGATACACTTTAAGGGTCAAAAGAAGGGTAAGCAAGTGAAATGATAAACCTAGAAAATTGTGACGTTATTAGTGAAAGAAGAAAAAATGAACTACGATTACGACCCTATCATAAAGAAAGGCATATGTGAAAGTGGCCAAGAAGTCTCTCCTCTCTCTCTGGGCATTTCACTTAGAATCAAATCATTAATTATAACTAAAAAAAGTGCTTAAGAGGTTATTTCTATGTATATCTACCAAGTCAACAAGGTTGACTTATAGCTCGAAAGACCTGCAACGATACTGGAGATATTTTTTTGTGTTCATATGGAACGCTTCAACTGTGCTAAAAAGTCAAATATTTAATCCCATAAAGTAGCATTTCCATTTTTTTGCAAGACCCTTGATTATTCTATGAATATGTTATGCATGCAAAATAAATATTTTTTATTTTCACACGAATTAAAGTAATGCAATTAATATAATAGAAATATAATTTTTTAAATCTTTTTTCTTAATATATCTTTATATTAAATAATTGACTAAATAAGAGTAGTCCATATTTATTAATAACAAAACAGATTAAATAGAGGTGCATCATAAAATTAAGAAATTAATTATACTAAAAATAAGGAAAGTGATCTATAATTTAGGACAAACTTAAAGGGAAAGAAAGCCGATCTTTATAGAATGGATGGAGTAATAGACATTTATAATCATATATCTTAAGGGCTCGTTTGGAAGAATTCTTTCTTGTTTATTTATTTATTTTTTTTAGGAGAAAAGCTTTCCGAACAAGTTAAATTAGACCAACTTTTTCCAAAATTTCTTTTAATCAGATAAAATAATTTCAAAAAGTTATTCAAATATATTAAAAAGTTACTTCTTTTAATATCAAATTTAACTTTTAATTTTTTAAAAACTATGCCAAAAGGACCCTAAATAAACCTATATAATTCTAGTGCTTATAAGACATAAATCAAATGATTTTTCTTTTCACTAAACTTATGTGGACAACTATTTCAATGAATCAGAAAATAACCAAATTATTACATCAGCAAAGTCATATAGAC